TTCTGGACCTCCACAGTCCTCACCCTCTTCTGGAAAGGGCACTTCACTTTCCTTTGGGGACCATTCCTTCCCCACTTGGTTCATTTGGTTGAGATGGAGCTGACCTGATTCTCTATTGTCTCCATGCCAGAAGTGGGCTCTTGATCTAGGCTTGCCCATCAGAAGCACAGAGGTTGGAGTATAAATGAGTATGTGACCCAGTTTGGGCCAGTGAGATTCGAGATTAGGAGTTGCACTGGAATTTGGAAAGAAGAAGGTCTCCTTTTTTAGTTAGGATTGCTGAGAGGGAGTCACTATATAAAGAAAGCTGGCTGAGGGGTGCGGAAATAACAAACTCTGAGAATATTGCTTGAGCTCCTGGATCCAGCTCAACCTGAATCCCACACACACCTGGGTTTTTCATTTCTTGTGATCCAATATGTTTCCATTGTAGCTTAAACACTCCATGCTTCAAACTGAGAGTCCTGCTTGATACTATTTTTTCTTTTCTTTTAATTTTTTAACATTTTATTTTTATTGTTGATAACTCTAGCTATTTTTTTTTTTTTATCCTCACCCGGGGACATTTTTCCATTTTTTGTTCAGGTAGTGTGGGAGGGAGAGAGGAACAGAGAGAGAGAGAGAGAGAGAAACATCGATGTGAAAGGAACACATCGAGTGGCTGCCACCCGCACAACGGACCAGGGCCAGGGACAAACTGCAACCGAGGTACGCGCCCTCAGTGGGAACCGAACCCGGGTCTCTCAGGACCGCAGACTGACACTCTAACCGCTGAACCAAACCAGCCAGGGCTCTAGCTAATAATAGTAAGCTCCATATGGCTAAAGCTACTGGAAAAGCACAAAGAGAAAGAGCTATGGGTCAAAAGTCAAGGCCATGTATTTTAGTTCTGTTATGAATACCCTGACTACATAACTTCCGTGTCTCAGTTATTCTGTCTGCAAAATGGGGCTCACAGGGCTCACTCTCTCTTGCTCCTCTAGATCTTCAACACTTCTCTGACATTCAAGTTTATAGCTGTAGCCCAGACTTCTCTTTGGAGCTTCAGGTCCATGAATCCAATATAACAGAACTTTTAAACAGAACTAATTATATTTTTCCACAATATTTTTCTTTCATTGTTCTTCCTCTTATTACATGGTACTTTGTGCTAGAAACTGCTAGCTGTCCTCCAATATCCATCCTTCCTTCCCCCCTCTGAGAATAATAGCCTCTGAATTTTAATGGGGCATGTGATTAGATTACATTTTCCAGATTCCCTTGCAGCTAGATTTGACCATGTGATCAAGTTCCAACCAATGGGATGTGAGCAGAAATGATAAGTGCAACTTCTGGGTCTGGACCTTAAAGAGAGGAACAAAAAAATGAAAATAAAATGAAAGAGAGAGGGGTGAACTCCCCTTTCCCTATTCCCCCTTCTAACTGACTGGAATACAGACACAGAGTGAGCTATATTTTCTCTTGGCAATAAGGGCAATGCCCCAGGGGTGACGGAGAGAAAGACAGAAGTTCCCTGGTGCTGGGTAGCAGCCTGACCAGCTTGAACCGCTACACCTGGACTGCTAGGCTAGGGCAGTGTTTTGTCTTGTTTAAGCCATAGTTATTTTGAATCTCTCTAAGGGTTGCTGAATTTAGAAAATAAAAAATACCCATTCCTCACCTAAGAGAGAGATGGAGGAGGGAACGGAAAATTCTAGAAAAGTAATGAAGATGGCGCAGGACACCTGGGGGCTCCCAGAGCTTCTCACTCTAGCTTTTCCTGAACAACCTGGGAGCTGGTAGGGAGGCAAGTGACCTGAAGTCTGAGTCTCATTCTCTCCTGGGTGATCATACTCTCTCTGAGTCTCAGTTTCTCCTTATGTACGATGGAGACTACGTGGGCATGATGGTCTCCTACGTCCTTCCAGCACTGATATTCTGTGGTTCTGTAATTCTAGGACGAATGTTGAAGCTCGGACGCCAATGGGGGCAGGAGAGCCCCATTCACAAGTGAACCAGGCCAGGTGGGGGCCGCGGATGGGCTGCAGAGCCTGTGACCCGCCACGGGGGCAGTTGCTACTCAGTTCCTGCTGACTGCTGCCCCTGGGGAATGCAGGACTGCCAGACTCTCTAATTTTTCGAGAAGACTTAGAGTCTAGATTGTTTTGGTCTGTGCGATCTCCTGATTTTTAAATGTTGGCGACAAATTGACATTTTTTCAAGCACTCCAGGGGCCAAACAAAAAATGTCTGCAGGCTGAGTCTGGCTGGTGGCCATCAGTTTGAAATCTTTTGTTTTGATACTATTTTCCTTCCTTCCTTTCTTTAGTCAACAAATATTTATTTGGTGCCTGCTATGTGGGGGGGCACTGCTCTGTGCCCTGGGGATACAGCAAGCCACAGAACAGGGGAGCACCTGTTATCATGCAGCTTTCCTTCTAGTGCTGAGTCATTCACGCAGCAAATACACAGATATTTCTTTACTCCTCACCCGAGGATATGTTTCCATTTATCATTAGATAGAGTGGGAGGGAAGGAGAGAGAGAGACAGAGAGAAACATCGATGTGAAAGAGACACATCAAGTGGCTGCACGACCCGACCAGGGCCGGAGACGAACTGCAACCAAGGTACGTGCCCTTGACCGGAATCGAACACGCGAATCTTTGGTCCGCAGGCTGACACTCTAACTGCTGAGCCAAACTGGCCAGGGCCATGTAACAAATACTGATTGAGCAATTCTGGCCCATGCACTGTACTTGTTGGGTCAATAAAAAATATTCATGGCCCCTGCCCTCCCGGTACATATATCCTAGGAGGGAGAAAGATAGTAGTGCATAATTATAAATGAAAAATACAGTTATGGGGAGCGATGTAATTTAGATGGAAAGGAGTGGTTAAGAAATTCTTCTCAGAGGAACTGAAAGGATACATAAGATTTGACCTTGTAAAAGAACTTTCTAGGACATTCTAGATATAGCAGAGGCGCCTCTCCCCCAGGTCCCCTCAGCTGCCACCATTCCTGTTCATGCAAAGGCTTTCTACTGTTAGCACCTGTGAGTCCCTGCCCTTAGCCCACGATGGAAGGGAATCTGTGGATAAATATCCCAGCACCCTCACTCCTCGGGTGGGTCAACTCTGAGGTTTGCCCGAGTCTCCCAGGGGTCCTGGTTTATGCACACTGCATGGGCTGCCTCCGCTTTCCGGCCTCATTTCCCCACTCTGCGTCCGGTGCTCCTTGGAACCCACCCCCAGATAAACTACTCGCATTCTCTCGTCTGAGGCTCTGCTTCTGGAAGAAGCCCAACAGCTATGGGAGCGAGTGTGGCAGGTTCAAGGGCAGAAAGCGATGAGCAGTAGGAGGCGGGGCTGGAGAGCGGGGGACGAGCCAGCTGGTGAAGGGCCCTGGAGACGGGGTTAGGGTTTGTCGGCCAGGAGGCCACGGATGTGTTTTCAGGAGGGGAGTGATAGGACCAGGCTTGTGTTTCAGGTTGAGCCCTCTGGGGGGCGCTGCAAAGGGAGACCAGATAGCTGCAGGTGAAGGTATCTGGGATTGGGTGTTAGGGTTGGGGAGAGGGGCTGGCGATGAGGAATCACACGGACCAGGTGGCATGGGGTTCAGAAAGCGGTTCTGGGCTTTGTCCCTGTCTTGAGGGAGCCCCCACTTTGGTTGAAGAAGCGGTGGTGAGACAGACACAGAAGTCATGCTTCAGATGACAAAACCCTAGACAACTCCCGGGAACCGAATTCTGAGGCCAAGGGCTTCAGAGTGGGCCGTCTCGAAGGGCAGGAAGAGCGAAGGGATGTTTTTCGGGGAGACTTGACCAGGGTGGGTAGAAAAACCACAGAACACCCAGACCTAGCAACTCACTACAGTAGCCCCTTTGGAACAACCCAACTTTTCGCGATGGTGGCCAATCCCACTCTTGGGGGGTTTCTGCAGCCTCGCTGCCTTCCTTCACCTAACCTGTGCATCGTCCAGACACGCACACTGGATTTCCCGCAGGCCCTGCTAGACATATTAACGGCATTCCTACACCGTAAGAGATTTCTGCACCACCAACACCATTTTTATATTCTTTACAACATAATGGCAGACGATAAATCTATCTTGCTAATTGCACATCCAGCTTGTTATAACTCCCATAAAAAACACCGGCAGCTGGAAAAGCCATGAGGTGATGTCAAATCATATTCCTGGTCTCTAAACAGAAACAGAAATATTTTCCAGGCGCTGGTGAGTCTCATGGTTCCTACCCAGGCGTGGAAGCAGCTGCCAACAGGTCGCTCACCCCGGATGGGATGGTAACTGGCCAGTGCTCGGAGGCCCCGCCCTCCACCCCCACCTGTCTCCCTGGCAGACGTCTGGCGCATCCACATGTGGTCTGTTGGGAAGCCCACGGGATGTATGCAAAGAACCGCGGGTTTGGGATATAGCAGTTGGGTCCATTTTTGCATTATTCAGGTGGTCTCGATGTTTCCTCCACTCACCACCAGTCAGCCCATAGCATCTGCTCAGAATTCTAACTGGATGGTTCCCCAACGTTAATTTGTCGGTGATACATTTGCAAAGCTGTTGCTAAATTCCATGCCGGAGCTGACAAAATGCCTCCCCCTCGTCTCAGAAAAACGGAAGGAAAATTAAGTTCATCTGCTGGAGACATTAAGATAAACAACAGGGAAGAAGGAAAAGACTTCACCTCATTTTATTTCAAGCTAGGATTACTGGATGGGCGGCAGCGTACTCTGACCCTCTTAGAAGGGAGATGGCCAGCGACTAGGAGCTTATATCCTATCAAGTGGTCATTGAACGCTTCAGAGAAAAGGCATAAGAGACACCAGAAGGGAAGCTAATTCAGTCCTCACAGGGGAACATTCCATAGGCTCTCTCCAACCCTGGCGGCCCGAGGGGGCAGCTTTTGTTGGAGAAGCTGCCTCATAAACAGCCCCCACAATTCCCAGGACAAATCAGCTGGATAGACAGTCAAGTTGGGGAAAAAAAAGAACGACAAATGGATTCTTACCTTCCCGTATCTGGATGCAAAAGTCCCCGTGAGTAAGGAGTGAAAAATAATTATTGTCTCATCCAAGTCCCACACGAACACACGCTGTGATGAAAAGAGAGGAAGAGAATGGAGACAAATGGACTCGCTTGCATCTGACTTAATGTCTGCAGGAATAAATTCCCTGGAGGAAAAAGAAGTCTTGAAAAACATTATCTTTAAGTTATAAAACATGCGACTCACTGATGAGTCCTTGCGTCCCCGTCCAACCCCAGCTGTGTAAAGAGTCTGCTGATGGCCAATTTTTGGGCCCCTCTCAACCCAGATGATGGCTGAACCAAGACGCCTGTGCTGCCTTCCACATAAAAGCTCAAAAATGGAGGAGTTCAGTCCAAAAACAGCAATAAAAATCATATAACTCACTCGACAAAATGAAATATTGCCATTTTACATTCACAACTCACTGTAAATCCAACTACTTTTGACCATTTCTGTTTTTAGCAATTCTGGTGGTTACTCTAAATTACATACTTATACCTTTGTTTATTGATGTGCCAACTTTAGACAATATCTTTTGACTTGGCAATCCGAAAGACCTCGGTTTAGCTCATGGTAATCTCCACCATGTCTCCAGAACTTGACATTTTTCACGTATACGAATCCCTCTCTTTCCCATTGCATCAGCTTTGGATATTCCTCCTTGGCTAAAACAGTAAACCAAGATGGAAGATGTGAATGCCCTTTCCCCTCTCCAATATTTATCAGCTTTAGCCTTACTTTACATCTTGTGATGACTATTCACTGCAAAGCCAAGTCATGTGCTAGAATTTCACTTTTTTCTCTCTGTGTCCAATGTCCTAAGCTCAGAGCCACCTGAAGGAGACTTTCTACCATCAAGGTCACGTGCCTTCTCCTTTCTTGTACTCCCTCCGATTAAAATCATGTCATATCGCAGTTTGTTCACATAGGAATCATACCTGTTAGGTATAACGTTTTGTTTCGGTTGGAGTTTGTTGCTTTAATTCTTTTCTTGTTTCCAAAAATGTGCCTTCATTAGAATCTCAAATTCAGCCACACCCTCTGTATCAAAGTTGTCCATCCTCCGTGACAGGTGTTCAATATGGTCTGGATCATCTCCAGGCTTGCTGCATAGCTAGCATTCTGAGAGATCCCTTTACTGTTATTCCTGGGTCAGATCCCCTAGTTCCTGGATTCTAAATCTCTCTCTTCCTTGGTTTTCTTCCTTGTTTTGCTTGAGTACATCCTTACGTTTTTTCCTTCTGAAAGGGTGCATGGGAAACAATTTCCCAGAATTCTTGCTTATCTGGTGACAGCTTTATTTTGCTCTACAGTTCTTGCGGGTACAGAATTCCAACTGGAAAATTCCTTCTTTGAAAGAATTCCTCGGTTAGCTTGTAGTGTACAACAGGACGAATGCGTAGTCTGTTTCACTGGTCCTCAGCCCTTCGTAGGTTTTACATTTTTTCTCTCTGGAATTTTTTTTAGGATCTATTCTTTAGACTGGGCAGCCTCAAAATTCCATAAGGATAGATCTAGGTGTGACCCTTTTTTCACCGACACTATTCCTATTTTCCATCTTATTTCTTTAAATAATTTCCTCCCATCTTTTCCACTGTTCTCCCTTTCTGGAATTTCTAGTAGTCAAATTAGACACCCTGCATTGATATTGCTTATCTTTAAACACTGTATTTTCTATTATGTTATCTTTTTGTGTTCTAGGTTGATAGATTTCTTAAACTTTCTCTTCTGGCTCTTCTATTAAACTTCTGATTCTTGCTGCCTCTGCGTGTTCCCTTCCCGACAGCCTCCGATTCTTAACTTATGGATGCAAGATCTTGAATCTTTATAAGAAAACCAATCAAAATTTTAGACAGTTCCTTTTCTGTTTCTGAAATTACCTTCTTGCCATTTCTTATTTATCTTGGACTTTATTTTCCATATTGTTGGTTTTCCTCAGTTTTCTGGTGATCATTATTTTTAAGAACGAAAGGCCTAATGATCACTTATATAGCTGGTCTTGGGCAGGGGTGTGAGGCGGAACGGGGGACAAATGCACCTCCTGAATGTGCCACCAGCAAGGAGCCACCTTTACAACCTCTCTGGAGCTCAGGGGCTGTATTTCTCCATTAGCGTTTGCCACGCCTTTAAAGACAGAGAGAAGGGTGGTATCTAGAAGAAAAATGGTCAGAGCAGGGGTTTTCAAACAATTAGCAGACCTGAGTATTAGCATGTGAGTTTTTGGTCTGGTTGTATATTTATGTATATGTATATGCTGGGCCATGAATATGAAGTATAGTTCTTATTTTGGGTCATGGTTAAAAAAATGTTTAAAAAACTGTTTTTGAGGAGGGCTTCTGGGGTTTAAATATGTCAAATCCTACTTTATCTGAACTAACTAGGTAGGATCAGTTAAACTTAGACATTTTGGTAAGATAATTAAAAAAAATCAGCCAATATTTTCAAGTGTAATGCAGGCTCAATGAGTTTACCTACTGCCTCCCCTCTGAAGGAGACTTGCCCCTCTCCCACTCTCGTCCCCTGGCCTGGATCCTTTGTGGGTAAGTTCTTGGTGGCCATTCTGCAGGTGACCTAGTCCTTTGCCCAGTGGGTTTGGTCTAGGGCGGGTCCCTCAGCCCAGCTGGGTCAGAGGCCTGACCTTGGGGACTAAACTTGGGGCCTAGAAGGAAGTTAATCATCCTTGCTGGTTGTTGGAGGCTCATGGGAAGGACAGGGAGGGCAGTCCGCAGAGGGAGAGGGACACAGGGGTGCCTGATGCAAAGACAACAATTCTGCAGGACCTGGCTTCCGTCAGGAGCAGAGTGAGCTGTGCCCAGAGACCTGCACGTGGGACACTGAAAAGATACGACCGCTTGGAGATTCCAGCACCTTCGCCGCGGCACGTGGGGCGGGGAGGGGCTGAATGCACTGCCTGGGCCCCGCTGCCTGCGGTCCCGGTACCTTGCTGATACTGTGCCCTGCCCTTGGCTTCTCAGAGGATCCCTGTACCTTAAAATAAACTCTGCTTTTCCGTTTAAGCCAGTTCGCGTTGGTTTCTGGCACCCGAAGCCGAGGGATTTAAACGAATACACACTCAGAATTTTCCTCCTTTCCACTTCTGGACATAATTTCTGTCTCATGGGCTTCAATCATTAGCACAACTGCCAAGACTTAGGAGGTGCGACCGTGCAAACCCTCCAAGTGACATTAAGCACAGAAGTGAAACACAGCTCACACCTTTTCGACTGTTCCTGCCCAGTGGTACTTACTCTGCAATCAAGAAGCAGATGTGTGCAGAGTAATCACCCACAATCCCCGGCCTCCACGCTACCTCCACCTCCTCCTTAGTTCAATGGAAAAATGTCTCTCCACCCCCACCGTCCCCTACCGACAGCAGAAAGCATGTTAGGTGACCGAATAATTGCTTTTAAATATTAAAGTATGCGTTGCTCTGGGTGATTTCCATAGCTCTGCAACTTCAAGCTGGTGGAACACCCTCAGGAATCCGGGGGTGGGGGAGGGCAGAAGGCAAGGGCCACATGGAGTCAACACGTTTTCTTCTCGCCTTTGGCTGAAGGGACTGCGCGAAGTCTCAATTTTGGAAGGCGGGGCCTTTAAGAATGAGAGGAAAAGCAAGGACAAGCCCCCTGGATTGGGAACAGTCCCATGAGCAGTGGGAACACTTGCTCTGTACCAGGTGCCCTGGGGTGGTCAACTCCCAGGGGAGATGGCTTCTGGAGGCGGACCCAAGGTAGGGGACAAGCATGAAGCTCCAAATATTTAACACCTCGGATGACTGGAACACACCAGTTGTAAACAACCACTACAACCCAACTAGTGAACGCTAAGTAACACAGCCCTACTGGTGAATATTGGCTAACTAGTACTGCTTTACTTGTAAACACTGGCTAACTGGCACAGCCCTACCAGTGAATAATGGCTAAATATCAAATGCCCCAGCGGTGAGCATCTGTTACTTGGGTCCCCAGCACCCGCCCCATAAGAATATCCGGTTCGTTTTCTTTTTCCACCGTGTGCCGTCTGGGCGGGACTGTCGACCGGCAGCAAGCACCGAGCCCAGCAGGGTCAATGGGATGCTGTCTCCTTGGAATGGAACACGGGGGAAGTGGCACTAGAATCAGATGCTTCGTTCTCCAGCAGGGGCGGGCACCCCGAAGGTCCCCCAGATTCCTTGGCACAGCCTTTGTGACTGTTCTTTCTAACCCCGGTGTCATGACTTCCTCCCAGTAAATTCCTTTGGCTTACGTCACCAGAACTGGTTTCTGTTGCTTACAACCAAGGGGTTGTAGCTAACAGTCCAAGGTTCTTGTCCCCAACAAGGATTTCTATGCCCGATGTATTGCATGAAAACCCCAAAGTCAGGGCGGACCTCCACTGCCCACAGCAGGCACTGGCAATGATGAAGGTGGCAGGGACCAAGCCACGCTGGACATCAGAGGCTCTTACTCTGTTTTCAAAGACCACCTGAACCCCAAGATTCTCATACAATCCTGGGGGGAGAGGGCCTCCAATAATAAGATGGTGTTTCCTACCACCCAGATGGGATGGGGACTCAGAGTCAAAAGTACCGCCCTGGCCAGTTTGGCTCAGCGGTTAGAGCGTCGGCCTGCGGTCCGGAGAGACCCAGGTTCGGTTCCCGCTAAGGGCACGTAATTTGGTTGCAGTTTGTCCCCGGCCCTGGTTGGTCGTGCGGGTGGCAGCCACTCGATGTGTCCCTTCACATCGATGTTTCTCTCTCTCTCTCCCTTCCTCTCTCTCCCTCCCACTCTATCTGTACAAAAAATGGAAAAATATCCTCGGGTGAGGATAAAAAAAAAAAAAAAAAAAAATAAAAAAAAAAATAAAAAAAAAAAAAAAAAAAGTACCTTGATTTTAAGGCAATGATGAAAATGGTCTTAGCGTATCTGAATTAGCAGGCTGAGCATTGTAGCTGCTGCAGAAACTGGCCAGGACTGTGACTAGGGATGTGTCGACGACACATTCAGGTTGCCTGGCACTGGCACTGCGTGGAAACACTATACACATGCCCACGGCACACTCAGGCCAATGAATGACTCCCGGCGCCAGGAAGCACAAACTAGTTCACGTGCCCGCTTTTCGCCCTTGATAGGCAACGGTTGCTTCTCTGTTTTTGGGGGAATCCTTCTGGCCTCGGTACCCTCTCCCTCTCTCATGCTCTTTTTGTTTGGTTGGTTTTTTAGAAAATGTAAGTGCCTGATAATTAGAATCCTACACTTGCTTTATTACATTAAAGAGCGGTGCATCCCTTAGACTAGCTGTTCCCAGCCTGGGGTGGATGCGGCGATCACCTGGAGAGATTGAAAATACCGACGCCTGCGTCCCATCCTCAGGGAATTCTGATTTAATTGATCTGGGGTACAGCTTGAGGACAAAGAATTCTCAAAGCTCCCCAGGAGATTCGGAGGAAGTCATGCACACTCACCGGAGCGAGCCTCCGGTCTCCAGGTAGATATGTATCTAAGCCATATTAGCATCACTAGGGGAGCTTTCAGAACTCCCTGCGACATCTATTTAATTACTCTGGGGAGAGGCCTGGGCACCTGTATTTTAAAACGCATCCCAGGTGATTCCAATGTGTAGAGGGTTAAGGACCTCTCTAACCCGGCGGGGAAGGTCCACTGCCCACTGTGGTCTCCATGACGACACTCCCAGAGTGTAGTCCCTGACCCAGCAGCATCAGCAGCATCTGGGAACTTGTTAGACATGCAAATCCCCAGGCCCCGCCCAGATCTGCAGACTTGGAAACTCTGGGGGTGGGGCCAGGGTTTTCATAAGCCCCCAGAAATTCTGCTGCTGCTTCTGCTTGAGAACCACTCAAGGGCCACTTTCCGCAGCAGGTCAATCAGCAGGGATTCCATACGGCCAACCTGCTTTTCCTCCAAGGGCTCCTTCCTCTGTCACTGTGCTTTGTGACACCGGGCTGATCTCCTCCATGGACTCGGGCAGAACTCTACCCCTCACCCCCCTGTTCTGGCCACAGATGGAGATTCCATTCACCACGTCAGAGGCAGTTGGGGTTACCTCGATCTCGTTGTCCCCTGCCGGGGAGGGGTCACTGCTCCGCTTCGACCGGCCTCGGAGCTTCCCCTCGGGGGCCCGGTGCGGCCTGTCTGCATCTCCCTCTTTGGCCGGTGTGGAAGGTCCATTGTGTGTGTTGTATTCACCTGGTGGAGGACAGGGAAGCTGTGCTGAGTGTCTCGTCCCAGGAAGTATCACATCAGGACTATCTAACGCCAAAGTGGCAGGTCCCAAAGGCAGTTCCCAAGACAAAGATCCCGTGGAATCAAAACGACTCTCGACAGTCCCTTAAAGTGCCCATTCATACTCATTCATCATCCAACAAAAATGTCCCGAGCGGGCATGTTCCTGGCACGGGTCCTTGTACCACCTGCATTCCTGAGGGAGGAAGGACGTTAGTGAATGTCCGATGTGCCACGTGGGGACTGTATTACAGAGAATTAATGAATCGCGTGGGGGACAGGAAGTGCTGGGAGGGGACTAACTTACAGGGGGCCAGTCAGGGAAGGCCTCACAGATAAGGGGGTGCCTGAGCAAGGATCTGAGTACAGTGAGGGAGGGGTCACAGGGGGAGCTAACAGACTAATAGAAGAAGAAAACATTTATAGGTAGCTGGGCCTCAAATTCTTCTACCATTAAGAGACCGCCCTTCCTGGGGGTGAATGGGGGTGCTGAAGAATTCTCTATGTTCCTGTCCCTACTCAGCTTGCTCCGTTCTTTATGAAAAGGAAGTCCTTTACACTTCACTTGAGAGATTTGTCCTTTTGAGAATTAAATGAGATTATATACTTGAAAGCATCTAACTCAGGGCTGGCCATTAGGAGATGTGAATAAATGATCTGAAGTGAGTCTGGCTCAAGGATCAACGAGAAGGTGTGGGACAGAGGTGCGCACTGGCTGCCTCCAATTCAGAAGGTGTTTCTGGACACGGGGCGTTGAGAGGCTGCCAAGCTCGTGCCCTCGGGCAATTGTCTAAGGGCCCTGAACAAGTGGGAAGCACCCTCCTGGGACTGAGGTCCCAAAGCCAGCACCCAAGCTGTATTTTTTTTTAAGCACATACATTTTAATCTTCTTTTTGTTGTTGTTAATCCTCGCCCGAATATATTTTTTCCGATGATTCTTAGAGAGAGTGGAATGGAGGGAGGGCAGGGGGAGAGAGAGAGGGAGAGAAGAGTGGGGAGAGAGAGAGAGAAACATCGATGTGAGAGAGACACATCAATTGGTTACCTCCCACACACGCCCTGATGAGGGCTGGGGATCGATCCTGCAACCCTACGCAGGTTTGGGAATCAAACCCACGACCCTTTGGTCCTGGGACTGATGCTCCAACCACTGAGCGACACCGGCCAGGGCAAGCACATAATTTTTAAATGTGTGGTTTTTATAATTAGACGTCGTTATCTTTATTTAATTAATGAGGGAACGGAGGCTCAGCGAGATGACAGACGTCTGTGGTTACCCTGCAAGTCAGTGGTCGAGCCAGAATTAAGACGTGGGTCTGCCCTTGTCACTGGGGTGACAGAACCCGAGGCCCTCCCATCCCCCTTCTCAGTGTCCAGCTGCTTATTTAGCTCCCACATGTGTCCTGGGGCTCCACCCCTCCTGTAATTGCCAGTGTTTGGGATCATGGCGGGAGGGGGGATGCTTTTGTCTAAAAATACTTGGCAATGGACTGAGTTTTCTTCCTACCCTGAAGGATGACTTCTCTCCAAAACCCAAAGGACGGAACTTTGTTTATTTAATATTTATTCAACTTCTTAGTGGACTAAGGACATAGTTAGAAAAGATGTGACCTGGAGCTGTCAGGACGCTGGGCTGTCTCCAGCTGCCCATGATTTTCGGGACACAGCACCGGAAGTCCCCAAAGAGCCACCTAGCAAAGACTTTCTTCTGGAGGGTGAGGAACAGGCAGTAAACATATTCACAGGTGCTTAAGAGTCATATCAATAAGGTGGATCCTCTCTTACTTGGTAGTTCTAAGGATGGCAGCTTCGAAAACATTTGTAAACACCAGTAAAATCCAGGCAAATATTATTCAAACGTGGGGGAAACACCAGCTACCTAGGAATGTCTGAATAAGGCATTTATAAGCCAATTTATTAGAGGTGCCAAGAAAAAAAAAACAAAAAATAAAAGCAAAAACACAAAATAGGCCTTTCCCCCACATTATAGATACTTGAGAATGAAGGGTCAAAATTCAAGGTCACAGTTAGGTACACAGGCTAGAGCAATGTAGTAAACCTTCCTTGGAGTCCTTTGACTCTTTATTTCTCCCTTTTTATGTTTTTTACTTGACAGCTTTACTGAGATATAACGGACATACAGTCAACCATACATATTTAGAGCGCACAATTCGATAACTTGCGACATATGTGTAAACCTATGAAACCGTCACCACAGTCAAGATAATGAACCAATCCTGCGCCTCCAAGAGTTTCCTTATGATCCCTTTGTAATCTCTTTCTCCTCGCCTCCCAGGCAACCACGGATCTGCTTTCTTCCCGCAGAAATTAGTTTGCATTTTCTCGAGTTTTAAACAAATGGAATCCCAGTCTGAGTTCAAAGGCCCGAGGACCAGTGGAGCTGATGGCATAACCAGTCTGTGACTGAAGGTCTGAGACTCTGGGGTCACCGACGTCAGTTCTGGAGTCCACGGGCCAGAAAGCCAAGAGCCCTAGTGTCTGAGGTCAGGGGAAGATGGTCGTCCTACCTCAAGAAGCAATGAGGTTGCCCTTCCTCTGCCTGTTGTCCCATCCGGGCCCTCAGTGGATTAGATGAAGCCTACCCACGCCGGTGACAGTGACCTTTTTTATTGAGTCTCCTGATTCAAATGCTCATCTCTTCTGGAGATACCCTCCCAGACACACCCAGAAATAATGTTTTACCAGCAATGGGAGCATCCCGGAGCCCAGTCAAGTTGACACACAGAATTAACCATCACACGCAGGTTATTAAAAGTCTATTATTTAACTTCCAAGTGTTTGGAAAATTTCCAAAACCATTTCTGCTGTTTATTTCTAATTTGGTTCTACTGTTTTCAGAGAACATTATTTGCATGACTTGAATCCTTTTAAATGTAATGAAACGTGATTTAAGGCCCAGAATACGTCTATGTTGGTAAATGTCTCATGTGTACTTGTAAATAGAAATTGTGTCTTTTGCTGTCATGGGTCGGAGTGGACTACAGATTGTGACATCCAGGCCTTTCTCTCCACTCTGGTTCCCTCCCCAGAGAAAATGGTAACTGTTGCTTTTGAATCCTTCTAGAAATTTCCTGTGCAAACATGGGTATACTTACACTTAAAAAAACCCAGGATCGTATTATGTACATAGTTCTGCACCTTGCTGTTCTCCACCTTTCATAATCACTCAGAGATCCATACTAGTACACATATACCTAGCTTTTTTATAATCCTCAGCCGAGGACACTTTTTCATTGATTTTCAGATAGAGGGAGGGAGAGAGAGAGAGAGAGAGAGAGAGAGAGAGAAACAACGATGTGAGACACACCATTGGTTGCCCCCCACATGACCCTAACCAGGGCAGGGGATTGAACTGCAACCAAGGTACGTGCCCTTGACTGGAATCAAACCCAAGACCCTCTGGTCTGTGGGCGGATGCTCTAACCACTGAGAAAACTGGCCAAGGCACTTTTTTATTTTTGAAGATTTTAATTGATTTTAGAGAGAGGAAGGGAACAGGAGAGAGAGAGAGAGCTAGAAGCCTGAATGTGAGAAAGGAACATTGCACGCCCCCTACTGGGGAATCGAGCCTGCAACTTGGGCATGTGCCTTGATGGGGAATTGAACTAGTGACCTTTCGGTGCATGGGACAATGCCCAACCATCTGAGTCACCACTGGCTTACGCTTTTTTTGTTTATCCTCACCCGGGGACATTTTTCCATTTTTTGTTCAGGTGGAGTGGGAGGGAGAAAGGGGAACAGAGAGAGAGAGAAACATTGATGTGAGAGGGACACATCAAGTGGCTGCCACCTGCACGACCAACCAGGGCCGGGGACAAACTGCAACCGAGGTATGCGCCCTTAGTGGGAACCGAACCTGGGTCTCTCTGGACCGCAGGCTGACACTCTAACTGCTGAGCCAAAGCAGCCAGGGCAAACTTTTTTTTTTTTTTTTTTGTATGTGCCCCTAGTGGGAACCGAACCTGGGACTCTCTGGTCCACAGGCTGATGCTCCAACCGCTGAGCCAAACCGGCCAGGGCTGGCTTACGCTTTTTAATGGACGTATAGTATGCCACTGGTGGGTGCACCATAAATCATTCAACCGACTCCTGTTAATGTTGTTTCCAGTCTTTTGCTGAGCTGCTGCTGCAAGAGATATTCTTTTCACTTAAGTCTTGGGACCTATGTGGGAATTTATCTTCAGAATAAATTCCTACGTGTAGAAAAACAGTACATGTATTTTTTAATATTGTTAGAGGTTGCCAAACTGAGGGGAAGAGCCTTCCAAGTTTCTTCTTCAGAGATTTAAAAAAATGTTCTCCTTCAATTGACTAGAGGAAATGATCTAAGAAGTTAAAAAAAAAATCCTCTCATTTCTTTTTAGATATTTGTATCATACTTAAAAATTTAAAACGAAAAAATGTTCTTAAGCCACCACTACTGATTTGTCTTTTCTCTTGGGTGAGGTCAGATGTTCAGGTTTTGCCCTTCCCATCAGCAAATTGCCCGGCAATCATCTGCAAATTGTTGGGGCTTCATATAGTGTTAGCGCACGTCCATGCAGACTGCTCTGCAGCGGGCTGGGGCGAGCGAGGAGAAGCACACGAGGAAATGCAGAGTGAGCGTGATCTCGCCGCAATGCACAGACCTCTTGAGCTGCTGGGGTTTGGAACCATCCACTCAAGGAGATCCCGAATAATTTCAAAAGTGGAGTTTTTATGGGACATGTTAAGAGCGTGCATGAGTGTGTGTGTGCGTGCATGCATGCGTAATACTCTTCCTTTATAACGAATGCTGGGGGAAGGAGACAAGAAATCTTGGTTGTAGCTGACAATTACTTATGTCGTTAGAATTTATGTGAGCTTGTTACACTCACAGTAAAAACAATCTCAACCACTTATCATTGAACTTTAGACCAAGGGATAAATGAAGAACAGGGGGAAACAATAAAGAAACGTTTCAAAGAGCCTCTATGTTTGCTCCTGATGGGGAACGATAATGACCTTCCCATCTAACCCAAATGCTTGTGAAGTAAGTCTTTGGAATCCAGCTCACCATCAAATTATAGATAGACAGGGACATTTACTTGAAGATTTCCTGATATTTCCTTTCTGAACCCAGTTTGGGGAGGCCACATTCTGAAAAGCACAATGGTCAGAGACTTCAGGATTATGACCAAAAAAAAAGTTTGTTAAATTTCATACCTTTCAAGGAAAGCAATTTGTGAATTGTTAAATGGATATGGTGTGTTCATGAAATACTCTGTAATGAGATCATAATGACCAAAATCAATGCTCAAGTCCTCGATTTCCTCAAAAGTTGACTTAAAAATGCTTGGCCATGTTGTCTCCATAAACCCAAGGACAACTTATTCATCCCCATGGAAGAAAAATACAAGGGCACCAAGAACCCCAGGAAGCAAAGAGGTGGGTCTTCCCTATGGTTCTTTTTCCAACCATCAACCAATGAATATTTACTGAATGAATGTCCACACGCCATCATGCTAGCTTAGCTCAACAGAGCTCTGTAGCATCAGTAGGTTTCAGACAAGAAAAAAAAAGGACAAAAGTCCATGATATTTCTTTCCATTTGGATGTTCTAATTTACTGCTGCTGCGTCATTTAACGTGGGCAAGCCCAAATCATCTCATCAAAGAGAAGACATGTGCACAGAGGACTTATAGAATGAATGAACGAGTCCGCAGGCTGATGAGTTAGCTGCACAGGGATACGCATCACCAAGGGGCCAGGAGGTAGACGCTCCCAAGGGTTGCTCATAATCTAGGTGGGTTCCATAGGTTGAAATTGGAATTTCTAGGTAAAAATTTCTGACTTTTCAATATGGGTGCAATTGAACACATACAGAAAGGCTGGCCAGCAAAGTATATCTGAAGGCTAGATTTAGCCCTTGGGTGACCAGTTCATTACAACTGAGACCCATGTCCAGTCCCTCCTTCCGGTAAGAGCTCAGACCACAGCAATGAAGGACCTCGTGACAGTGACTGTACATACCCGCAAGCGACTCAGAACTCTGGTTGGGGACGTTGTGCGATGCCTCCTGGAGGACGTAGGTGGACGTGGAGATGGGGGAAGGGCAGATGCTGCTGGCTGGGACGTAAGGAGGGTTGTAGGACGAGCTGTAATACTGGGAGTACTGGCTCTGAGGGAAGCCGGGGTAGGAAGGATAGTCCTGGAAAAGGAAACACACAGGTGAGTGAGGAAGGTGTCCTGGTCACAGGCTAATGAAGGTGAGGGGCCCCATGGGATGGCTCTACTGTCTGTTTCCCATTAGAATAAATGCTCTGTGAGGGCAGGGACTTGCCCCAGAGGCAGACCCCAAGCGAAGGATGGGGATGAAAGAGATACTAGCTGGGGAGTGGGGAATGAGGTAGTGAAGGAAGAGGGGAAAGCAGCCAATCCACGGGCTGTTAGGTGGGGATTGGAGCGAACTCTCCCGGGGAAATGCTGCGATGGTGCAACATAGTATCTCGAAGGATCTCTCCAAGGAGCAAGGTAGCAGGGCTGTTCACATGCCAACTCCAGCCAGTCTTCGAGAGTTGCTCCCAGGGAATTTCGGTTCCCTGGCTCTTCCTGCCTGCCCTATGCATTGATTCTAGAAAACACCCTTGGGCCCAGGGATACAGAGGTTGGCAGCTGGAGGTCAGCAGGTGCACCCTGAGAAACAGGGGTGTGAGCCCAAAAGCATCCGTCTCGCTCACTGCTGCATCCCTGGCACTGGGACAGTGACGGGCACCTACAGGTGCTCAATAAACACTGGATGTTAATGAACAAATGAATGAGTAATAAAGACTACACGCCCACATGCCCAGGAGACTAGGGGACATTTTAGGCTCCTACGGGGTGCAAATACAGCAGTGCCCACGTGGCTTTAGGAATCCAGATCTTCTATGAGGGGGTCTTGGAGATCAAATTAAAGGATGCCAACTCCCTTTACTGAGCTTTGCAAACCAACCAGACATCCAGCTCTCCCACAGTTGTCACTGTTTCAAATATTCTGCTTCATTGTCACCAGAAACCAGCGCTTCTCAGCCCTGCCAGGAGCTCATGGGAAGTCCAGCATCTGGGGTCTAGCACAGACCTACTAAATCAGAACTTCTAGGGGTGGAAGGGAGTCTGTGTTTCTGACAAGCTCCCATTGACAAACACCCAGAGGAAAGAACTATGCCTTAAAAAGTACTCCTTCATTGACGAATATTGGATCTATGTATAGAGTACACTGAAAACGATACAAAAATATGTGAAACAATTTTCACATATTCCAAGGTTCAAGTCATTTGGAGTCTTCAGCTCACTGGAGAAATAGTGCAGTCCTCGTATTTAAATATGTTATATATTCCTAAAGCCCGTCTACCTCGGGGAGTTTTAACATGAGCCTGAAAGCGTGTTAATCTTTTGTCCCGAAAATTTTACACTGAGAGCAAAGGCGAACAGATAGCTCAGTGTGCCCGCACTCCCTCAGCAGGTTCATTCTGAGTTCACTCCCTAGGTGAAACCAAGGGAATCCAAGTATGAGTCAGCATTCACCTGTAGAGTGTAGACTTAGCCCAATTTAACCAGCATTCACCTGTACAGTGCGGACTTAGCCCGATTTAACCAGCATTCACCTGTACAGTGCGGACTTAGCCCGATTTAACCAGCATTCACCTGTACAGTGCGGACTTAGCCCGATTTAACCAGCATTCACCTGTACAGTGCGGACTTAGCCCGATTTAACCAGCATTCATAAAGCCCCCACTGTGTGCCGGGAGCGCCACACCGGGATGCTTTCAACCCTTGAGAAGCTCATGGTCAGTGAAGGAGCAGGTGCGCTTGCGCTCCCATATCCGAGCCTCAGCGGTCTATGGTCCTTGGGCTCGGGTCAGTGTGTAACACATAACCCTGCCTCTGTCATCCAGTTCCTCTGCCTCTACGCTGGATCTTTCCGATGGCCATTCACACGATCTCCCCTGCGGTGTCCAAACCCAGGGAACGGGAGACTGGATGTCTGGTAGGAGGGTTGTGGGCAGGAGGAGGCATTTTGGGTGCCCCGATTGAAGGAGACTCTTCAAGGAAAGAACGGAGAACTGGTCTACCTGGTGCACACTTCCGAATCCGGCCGCGCTGGTCAGTCCGTTGGCTCCTTGATAGATCCCCGCCGTGCCTGTGGGGAAAAGGCACAGGGTACAGGTGAGGTTTCTCACAGTCACAGGGGGACGTGGAGGAGAAGGGTACAGCAGAAAGGTGGGGCCACTGCAGTCTGACGGGTTGGGATGGAACCTGTGACCCTGGCAAGTTCCCAAATCTCTGAACCTCAGTTCTGACAATTAATGAATAAAACAAATACCTCCTCCAAGAACTGTGGTGAGAAATAAATGAGATGGTGTATATAACACAGTGTCCGGTGCTCGATAATTGTGCTTTTAAAAAATTATTCATTTAAAAAATTGGGGACACGGACATGAAATGTACTGTTCTAACTATTTTGAAGTGTACAGTTCCGTGGCATTCAGTACATTCACGACGTCGTGTGGCCATAACCACCACCCGGCTCCAGAACTCTTTTACATCTTGCAAAACTGACACTGTTAACCCATTAAACAAACTCCCACATACCCCTCCCTCCCTCAGCCACTGGTACCCACCTTCTACTCTGTCTCTATGAATCTGACTCTAGGTACCTCTTGTAAATGGAATCATACAGTGGTTGTCCTTCTGTGACTGGCTTATTTCATTTAGCATAATGTTTTCAAGTTTCATCCATGTTATAGCACTTGTCAGAATTCCCTTCCTTTTTTTTTTTTAAATCCTCACCCGAGGATATTTTTACATTTATCCTCAGACAGAGCGGGAGGGAGAAAGAAAGAGAAACATTGATGTGAGAGAGACACATCGACTGGCTGCCACCCGCACGATCCCACCCAGGGCTGGGGATGAATTGCAACCCAGGTACGTGCCCTTGGCCAGAATCAAACCTGGGACTCTCTGGTCCACAGACCAATGCTCTAACCACTGAGCAAACTGGCCAGGGCTGAATTCCCTTCCTTTTTAAGGCTAAACAATATTTTATAGTATATAGATAGACCATATTTTGTTTATCCATTCATCCACCAATGGACACTGGTGTAGCTTCTATCTTTTGGCTATTGCAAAAAATGCTTTTTTTTTTTTTTTAGTATAATTTATATGCTGTAAAAATTCCCCCATTCTAAGTGGCAGCTGAATGATTTTTAACGTAAAAAACTGTCACCATGATGCAGTTTTAAAACCTTTCCATCACCCCTAAAGTTCCCATATGCCTATTTTCAGTCAACTCCCATTCCCACTAACCTATTGCTGACTCTAGAGTCTCACTTTTTCTAGATATCTCATAGAAATGAGATCATACTCATGTGCTTTATCTGGCCTCTTTCCCTTAGCACAATGCTTTAGAAGCTCGTCCATGTCTTAATGTGCACTAGCAGTCCATTCCTTTTCTTTACTGAATAGTATTCCACAGTATGGATGTAACACATCTAGTTTTTGGCTATTATGGATAATTTTGCTATAAACATTTGCACACACGTCCTTGTGTGGATAGATGTTTTGGTTTCTCTGGGGCAGATCCCTAGGAGTAGCATTGTGGAGTCATGTGATGAGTATGTTTCCCTTTCAAAGAAAGGGCCAAACTGTCTTCCAAAGTGGCAGTGCCATTTTACCTTCCTACAAGCAACGTATGAGGGTTCCAGTTCCCCCAGCACGTCCCCTTTCAGTCTTTTTTACTGCAACCTTTCTAGCAGGTATATAGAGGTATCTCATCGTGGTTTTAAGTATTTCTCTAATGACTATGTTGGGCATTTTTAAGGTTTATGAGCCAGTCACATATCTTCTTTGATGAAGATCTAGTCCCATCTTTTGCCCATGGAAAGAATAGTTAGGTTTATCTTCATTACTGAGCTGTAAGAGTTCCTTATCTATATACTGGACACAAGTTCTTTATCAGATATATGATTTGAAAATATTATCTCCCAGTCTGTAGCTTTATTTTATTTTCTTTTTTTATCCTCACCCGAGGATATTTTTCCATTTTTTGTACAGATAGAGTGGGAGGGAGAGAGAGGAAGGGAGAGAGAGAGAGAAACATCGACGTGAAGGGACACATCGAGTGGCTGCCACCCGCACGACCAACCAGGGCCGGGGACAAACTGCAACCGAAGTACGTGCCCTTAGCGGGAACCGAACCCGGGTCTCTCCGGACCGCAGGCCAACGCTCCAACCGTTGAGCCAAACTGGCCAGGGCTGTAGCTTTATTTTCTTAATGGCGTCTTTTGAAGAACAAATGTTTTTCAGTTATCAATTTTTTCTTCTATAGCTCTTGCTGCCTAACCCAAAGTCATTAATATAAAATTCTTTCCTATGTGTCCTTCTGGAAATTTTATAATTTTAGTTCTTACATTTAGGTATGCTCTCATGTGAATTAATGTCTGTGTATGGTGTGAGGGAAGGGTCTAAACTGACCTGGATGCATATGGATATCCCGAAGTTCCGGCACCACCGTCAAAAGCTTATCCTTTCTCCCACTGACTTACTTGGCACCTTTACCAAAAATTAATTGACAATAAGTGTGAGTTCTTTTTTGGCCTATTCTGTTCCACAGCTCTCTCTCTTATACCAGTTCCATCCGGTCTTGATTACTGTAGCTTTCCAGTAGGTTCTGAAACCAGGCAGTGTAAGTTCTCCAACTCTGTTCTTATTTTTCGAGATTCTTTTGGCTTCTGTGTATACATTTGGCATTTACAGGTCAATGTTTAGAATAAGCTTGTCGATTGCTATGGGCCAGAAGGAAGTGGCGCAACATTTTTCAAGACTGTCAACCCAGAATTTTGTATCCAGAGAAAATATCTGTCAGGAACGAAGAGAACAGCAAGACATTCTCAGGTGACGGGAAACCAAGAACCTGTCACAGCACATCTACGCTGAAAGAATGGGCACAGGAAGGTCCTGAGACAGGAGATTTAAAAACAAAAGGAATCTTGAAATATCAGGAAGAAAAAGAAAAAGAAAAGAGTAAAAATCTGGGTAAATAAAGTTTCCTGTCTGTGTTGTTATGTCACCAACTCAATATATAGGAATGGGAAAAGTAGGTTTATAGTTCTTCGTATGAAAATACACAAATAAATAATAGAATAATGAACAAACCGACTGTAAACTTACTGTAAAAAACTGTAAACCTACTTTTGCCCACCCCAGTACAATTAGGTTCGTTAACAAGTTTGCTACCAAATTATTGGAATTACTTCTTCGAATGTGTTTTATAATTATATAAAATATTATATTATTTTTTATTTATGATATGAAAGGGTTCCAAAGCCAAATCTACAAAATAAACTACAACCACGTGTGAGGGTGCGGGGACCAAGTGGGGGGCACTGGGAAGGCAGTGGACAAGTGAGCTGCCGGTAAGAGCTGTCGCTGGAAGCCTGGGGACACAGGGGAGGGTTCTGTAATGTCGCCTGGGGTGGGCGGGGCCAGGGAAGACTTCCTGGAGGAAACGACATCCAAGTTATTCCGGAAGGATGAGCAGGAATTAGCAGATACAGAGACGAGAACCAGGAACGTGGCTCACCTGGGCTTCCCCTCCTGATCTCCACGACGTGGGGGCTGGCTCAGGCCCAGAAATCACAGTGTGGCCTGGTGGGCTCCCATTCTGTCCTTAATGGCCTGTCCAGACACATCTGACAGAAGGTTTAGGCCAGCATATTCCATTCGAGGTCATTTTTGGGGTCCTGGTTGCCATGGCAATCCTCCCTGCCCAAACTTAGGAACACACCTGCCTTCGGAAGTCTCCTGGAGGCAGTGTTTTCTGCCCGGATTTCCATTTTCTTTTGTGTCAACCTTCTAAATGATGCCTTAGGGCAGGCCACCGTCCCCTACTTTGGTATTCTTTGTCCAAAACAGCCTTTTGTTTGTTTTCATTTTGTGACCCAGGGGCATCTGAAGAATGGACAGCTGAGCAAACTGCAGTCTGCTGTGGGCAGTCACGGAGCCCCTTGCAGTGAGCGAGCCACCCCCTGCCAGAGAGGACCCAGGAGGGAGAGCACCTGGCCCAGACATCTTGTACCACAGCATGTGGTCCCTGGAGGGTTATGTAGACGGACTCGCCTTGAGCCGGCCTGTTGAGCACTGACTTCTCGCGCCATCTGGCTGGTGGGAAGCACACGGAAGGCTGGGGAAGGCTGGGGAAGGCTGGGGAAGGAAGGCGAGGGCAGACAGAGGAAAACATCCTCCTTTAGGGCGATGGTGGCAGGTCCTGCTAGGGACCTCCCAATATCCACTCACCCGTTCTCTCTCATACTAAGAGAGCCTCTGCTTTGAAGCCGGGCATGTAGCTGATTAGAATAAACACTATATTTCCCAGCTGCCCTGGTGGCTGGTGTGGCCATGTGATGAGTTCTAGATAAGGAGAGAAGGATTAATGTGAGCATCTCCCTGGTTGTGCCTTTTTTTTTTTTTTTAATCCTCACCTGAGGACATTTTTCCATTTTTTGCACAGATAGAGTGGGAGGGAGAGAGCGGAAGAGAGAGAGAGAGGGAAACATCGACATGAAAGAGACACATCGAGTGGCTGCCACACGCACGACCAACCAGGGCCGGGGACAAACTGCAACCGAGGTACATGCCCTTAGCGGGAACCGAACCCGGGTCTCTCCGGACCACAGGCGGACGCTCTAACCGCTGAGCCAAACCGGCCAGGGCCTGGTTGTGCCTTTTAAAGGGCAGGGCTCCTGCCGAGAACAGCAAGACAGAGGGAGCTTGGACCTCTGCCACATTAGCAGACCAGAACTGCCAATCAGTTTGGACTTTAGGTGAGAAAGAGATACACTTCTTTCTTGTTGAAGACCCTGTTTTTTTATATGTCGTAGCTGAGAATTATTTTTTTCTCTCTTGCTTGACTGGTTTTCTTGGGTTTTAAGTAAAAGTAGACTGTTGATGCCTGGCTTAGTAAAACACTTTTCAAGTGGATTCATTCATTCATTCATACATTCATCCAATAATCATTTCCTATTAATGTAGCAAATATTACTGTCAGGCACTGTTTTAGATATGACGGTAAGTAAGGAGCTGATGCTTTGTTAGGTACAGAGCGTAGAGACAGAACACAATGGAGTGAATAGATACATGGAT